AAAAAAAAAAACCACCGGCCTTAAAACAAAGAGAAACGCCGGTACGAATTTTGGCACGCAATATGACGACTCATTCATGTAGCCTAAATACAACGATATAATTTTTTTTTTTTTAAAGTCCAGTAAAACGTTCAAACTTTTTATGAGGCATTATTATCTGTTTTATTTTTCATTTTGGTTGTATTTTTTATTTGATGTATTAGAAGAAGGTGTAATGAAACCAAAAATAAACATATGAAAAAACGTCATGAAGTAATTTTTTTTATGTTATAACTAAATGAATGCCTTGTTCATTTTTTCCTTTAATTATCTGAAGGACTTGGTGGCCAATAAAAAGAAACAGGATGAAATTACTTTTTTTAAACAATTAACAAAAAATAAAAAAATTAATCCAGCCATAATATAATTTTCATGTTTCATTGACAAAACAAATAAATAAAGGAGGAGCCGTTTCTGCGCATGGATGTTCTTCCGCCATCTTTGGCCAATGCTGACGCTAAAACGAGGATTGTGGGAAAACCAGATCTCATTACTATTCATGATCTCATTACCATAGATATTCTTACTTGTAAAAATGACATTTCTAGATATCTGTAAAAGTATTTTTACTAGTTAAAATGTTAAGATATCAGTAATTCTATTTTCACTAGTTGCAAGGGCAATTTCAGATATCAACTGCCTTTGTTGATATAAAAAATGACTTTGTTACTACTAAAAAATGTGAATTCTTGATATCAGTAAATGTATTACAACATGTTACATTTGTTATTTCTGATATTTGAAAATGCATTTCTGATATGAATATAATTTCTGATATCTAAAATTGGTTTCTTACTAGTAACAATCACATTCATGATATCAGAAATGAACATTGTCACTAGTGGCAATTAAATTGTTGATATCAAGAATAGACGTCTGTACTAGTAACCATGTGATTACTGATATCAAAAATAAAGTTTTTTACTAGTAAGAATTGTATTTCTGATATGAGAAATTGTCATTTCAACTAGTAAGAAATCAATTCTTGATATCAACAATTAAATTTGAATGGCAGCCTATGGTGACATTTAACTAGTGAAAATACAATTACAGATATCAAGAATTATAATTTTTACTAGTTGAAATGTAATTCCTGATATCAATAATTAGCATTTTAGCTAGTAAAAATTGAAATGTTGATATCAAGAATTCATATCCTGAGAATGAATAAAAGTCAAAACGGCTTGCCATACATGGTGGTGGAAAAAATTTGGGGTGGGTGGACATTTTTTTTTTTTGCGTTCGCTTGAGAAACTTTTGCGTTCCCTCTCAAAGATATTTTGTTTTCTCTTGCAAAGATTTTTTGCTTTCTTTCGCAAATCTTTTGCGTTCTCTCGCAAAACCAGTTGAGTTCGGACAAACACTTCCTGTTTACTTTACAGATTGTAGTGATTCATAACAGCTCCATACGTTTGCAATGGAGCGGTTCATAGAGTTTTTAAACTTGGACTCAAGTTCAAATACAGTCAGCTTTGCATCGTTTAAGGCACGGTTTTGGGACATTCTAAAACGCTTAATGTGGCTTAACAGTGACATTGGAGGCCCAATTCGGTATTAATAAATACTATTAATACTAATAACAATTGTAATATTAATAACCTTATTAATAGGATTACTATCAGTAAAGCAGATAGCCATAATGCAATGTTTCTCCCCCATGAAAACCGTTAGGCTATAGAAAAAGTTTAAGGGAGGCTAATGGACGAAGACGGTATAAAACCAAAATATGGTACAGTTTATTAAAGGGGTCATCTTATACTTTTTCACTTTTTGAATTTTAGTCAGTGTGTAGTGTGTATGTTTGGGCATAAAAAGATCTACAAAGTTACAAATCTCAAAGTCCACTCCAAAGATATTTTGTTTAAAAAAAATCCCTTTTCAAGAACTACAACAAACGGCTCGTTTGGACTACAGCGTTATTTTCCGGTTTTTGTGATGTAACAAAATGGCCCATTAGAATATCATTAAAATAATTCTCACCTATGGAAATTCGAATGGTTGGGGGTGGGGAGGGGCGAGGTCGTGTTTAGAACGCTTGGTTGCGTGCATCAGACAAGACAACGACAGCTTCATGTTTTGTAATACGTAAAGTAATTCATAAATAACTATTAAAATTGACAGCAATGCATATTTACAGTACCTTTTGAATTTCGGAATTTTTGAAATAAAATATATATTACCGTTGCACTTATCTGTACATAGTAAATGCAGTTATTTTTCAGGGGTTGTGCCCGAAGCATGAAACCGTATTCAGAAAGGCACGGAAAACAAATAACGTTTGCTAACGGTTGCCTGTTACATTACAGTACATAAAATTTCACTTATCACATAAACAGAGTAAGTAATTAAAAATGTAACCAAAATTTAACCCAACAGTTGGGTTAGTCCATATTTGACCCAACATTGGGTTGAAACAACCCAGCATTTTTTAGAGTGTAGTCACCACTCTAATATGTCTTGCAATATCCGTGCGTGCAAAGGTTCTGTGTGATCCTCTTGTTCAATATTCTCGGGGTCTGAAACCGGCTCAAATTGATATGGTAATCCTTAACTATACCGGAGCAGACAGTATAGTTGTATTACTTTGGCAAGGGGTGTGGCTGAAACACCGTCTAAGCTCCAATCCCGTCCAATCACAACACGCTGGGACAGTTAACCAATCACAAAACATTCGGAAGGCGGGCCTTCATCAGACCCAAGCCGTTTGTGCCAGGCTGTAAAGAAAGGTATTGTAATAATGTAAATTATGTGAAAAATAATGCGTTTTCTAACCACCAAGCATGAGAGCATGTTCTAGCTAGAACATAGAACATACACCCCCAAATCAAAATAAAGACTTTGTAAAAGAGCATAGACCCCTTTAATAAAATATAGCCTATTATGCACAGGGAAGCAGACAAGCCCAGAATTCATAGCTTTCAGTGCTTACCTGCTTTCATGTATAATTTATTTATAAACTGTATACCGAATTTGGCCTTTTTATACCACTGTCTTAGACCGTTAATTAAGCGTTTTCTTTCTATGGGGGATACGCTTAAAGTGCAATTTACCGGGTTATGTTCATATTCTATAAAAGTATTTTTTTTCTCCTACCCCAAATTTTTTCACTCACTCTGTTTTTTTCCCACCACCATGCCCCTTTAGGGGCTCCGTAGATAACTATCCAATGAGAAAAACACATCCTTGTGCCATTGACCCACATGTGCTATTATTATTATTCATTATTTACATGTTAGCTATAAACATCTCGACTTTTGACTAACTTTCTCAGCAAGCCTCTCTTAAAACTATTGCTTCACCATGACTGTACTTGACCTTAGAAGAAGAGTTTACACTAAAGTCTGCTGAAGCGTCCCTATGATTGCTGAACTTCAGAACTGTTATAAATGTGTCTAATAAATCTTAACCTCAACCAAGTCTCTCTTCAGATAAATTCCTGCAGTTTGAATGGGGGCACGGGCTATGTGCTTAAACCAGAGTGGATGCGAGATCCAACCAAGAAACCTGCTAAACAAATCAGAATCAGAGTAAATAACTCCTATTTGCTTTAAACTGCAGTTCCTGTTGATTCAGTTGTTTTATTGAGTTCTACAATGAAGGCTAATGCCTGCATTGTTAAAGTAATGGAATAATGTCATCATTTGCTCACCTTCGTGTCATTCCAAACCTGTATGACTTCCTTTTGTGGACTAAAATGTGAGAAACGGTCATTTTGCTGCTCGAGTCCCGATTTACTGTGGAAAAGATTTCCTTTTATGTTGATGGAAGAAAGACATTTACTTTTTAAGGGCTTTACAGGTTTTGAATGACATAAAAGTGAGCAAATGATCATTTTGGGTGAACTAATTGGATTTGTGAGGTACAATTTTCTTGGGTTTCCTGCAGGTGATGGCAGCCAGGCATCTGCCCAATCCAGAGCACATCGTCAGTTCTTTTGCGCAGGTTGAGTTGTGGCCGTACCCAGGAGGTCAAGCAGACGACTACAGTTCAGTAAGGATACAGGAAGAGAGTTAGAGAGAGAGGAGTTATAATTTAGGTTATAGTAGTGCTGAATGTTGGTTTCTTTACAGAGGACAACGGACTGAATCCAGTGTGGCTGGGCCCAACGAATCCACCCAAATGCTTTAAAATAGATGAGCCAGATCAGGCTTTGTGGTTTTTGAGGAGGACACATTCTCTGATGCTAAGTTTCTTGCACAAGCCACTTTTCCTATTAAATCTGTTAAATAACTTTCTAGCCAATTTTCCATTCATTGTATGAGAACAGTGATGTTTACTACACCAAAAACACTCAAAGCAATGATATGGCTTCTGAAGACTTTGAAAACCGTGCAGAAATTGCTTGAACTACTTTTGCCATCAGTTATGTAACGCCTAGAATATATTTACCGCAGTGTGACCGGGCAGACTTGTGTAAATGTGGGCAATCATATGCTCACATATTTAGTATTATGACTTTAGAAATCCATGGATTAAATGGATTTGCACATCCAAGCACATTTTGCACGTGGAAGGGACCTTTTTCTTTTTTAAGATTAATGTACATTAACCAGGAGACGGCTGATATGAAAGCAGTAACACCACCAAAAACAAATAAAAGCCCAACTTAAAATATTATTTCCTCATTTGAGTCAGTAATGAAAAATCTTTGTTGACAGGTGTAAAGTAAACAGCCTTAACCACAAGGAACTTGCAGACGTGTCAATGTGAATATGTTGAAAAGGAGGACATGGATTAGTCTTGGTCTTGTGTTTTGGAAGATATATTCCAGATTCTGGATCATTGTGGAAATAAATTGCCAGGACTGCAGAGCAGTTACTGTGATACTGAATGAGATCTAAATAAACTGTATGTGAGTATTACATATAAATGTGTCACTGTTATTTCTCAAAATATGTAAAACCATTTTTTTGAAGCAAATGACTAAACTAAAACACGTCAATAAAGCTTTGAAAGCTTTCTATTTGAAACATATTCACAGACAGTTTATTTTGATTGAAACTGGTTCACATATTAGGCTTATTTTCCTGTTGAAGTTTGTGTTCTCATTACAACAGCCATAGAGCAGCAGCAGCAGCAACCCAGCTGTAGATAGAAGCAGAAAAACAAGAAATAAGGGCAGCAGATCTATCTGCAAAAACTCCAGGAGTCATGGGAAATGTAGTTCATTCTGTATGTACACGACTGCCGCAGGGGCCGCGCCGAGCCCACCCACATCAGATTAAGACTCAGTCTCAATTCAACATAGCAAAAAGCGCTTTTCAACAAAAATAAAAAAGCTGAAATTAATGAGACATTATAATATGTTGATAAGGAGACATTGGAAACACAAATAGCACAGTGAGTTCCACAGGATATTACAAATTAATCAGGAAACGGTTGACTGATGTACAAACTGGATTTCAACTTCAATAGATTAGCAATTGTCTCAAAGATATGGCGCTTTTTTTATAATTTCGTAACAAAATGAAGGCAGAGGGAAACCCAACCCCCTGAATCCTTCCCGCCACAGAGAAAAATAGTCCGCTTTTAGGACTGAAGACCATTACAATGCATCAGCCTGAGTTTCACCAGTGTACAGAATGGCACAGTTTCTAGTCCACCTTAATAACACACTCCCAATATAATCCATCGGTTTACACTAACTCTGTCCATCTTTCACTTTTAGAAACACGTATTGATCCATATGGTAACTGGTTGAAGGGGCTAGTGATTTGACCCTTTATATTAAATCTATATGATCAAATTGCAAACATGCAAAAAGAGAAACAAAACAGGCAACAAAAATGGATTAAACTTATCATAGTCAAAAAAAAAAAAGAACACAATGACAGTGCACTTGGTCTGGGGACGGGAGAGGCAACAAAAACGGGTGACCATATGCACACATCTAAAAAAATAAAGGCAACAAAGTCTCCCAAAAACTTGAGAAAGAGAAACGGGAAATTATATACACTCATATATACATTATACAGTATGCAACTATGCAAGATGGCAGCACACGAGTTGGTGCCATTATGGCACCCAGTACTGAACGCCCCCCTCTGGACGGCATCTATATCTGTGTGAAATCGAACGCACACACAAAAGCTGGAACTGCCGAAAACTGCTACTTTCAAGACCGGGGCAGCGACTCTCTCTGGATATAGTTTAACGTGGGCGTAGAGACAGACACGCCTTTGTAAACATAAGAAAAACTCCATTTAAGTTAAGACGGCAAACTGATTCTTTTATTTCCGACCGTCTTTTTTTTTTCTTCTACAAGATCTGTCTTGTTTCTCTACTAATCAAGATATTGACTGTAACTAATTACAGTGGTCATAAACTATATGTTCGAAGAGACGTTGATCACAAAAGCGAGAAAACGAAATATAAAAAGGTTAAACTGCATAACAAGCCATAATGAACATAGCGCAAATCTTGGCTCGATTTCGATATAAATATGAGGAACATTGTCAACCTTTGTGGCAGGACACTCGTGGTGGACTCCTATCGACCACTAGAGGCGAAGTTTACAGAGAATAATAAAGTCTATTAATCTGTTTAAAAGTCTGTAATGTATCTATGTACAACTTAACTGACGTTGCTAGGTGATGCAATCTTTACAGAAAATGTTTTAGGCACCATCTTGGTTCAGTATGCTTGACAAAAGTACTTCATAAAAGAAAAAAGGACCAGAAAGGGGGGTTCATAAATACACAGTAGTCCCAGACTACTTCCTGGACGACGTTCTCTTAAATAGGGTGTGAAATTAAAATTACACTGTACACAATGTAGCTAAAAAAAAAAAAAAGAGAAAGGAAATGATGAACAGAAACTATTTTTTTTTTGAGCGAAGCCCCTGAAATGTCCGCATTAAAAATGGGGATACGCCGATTTTCTTTACAAACACACACGTATATGAAAGCAGTGTATGGAAAAATATGCTTATTCATTCGTTGATAAAAAATGATTTTCAGAGCGATAGAGATATACAGAAGAACGTGAACATTGTTAACCGACCCATTTTACACCAGAAATCTCTGAGGATTCAAAAACGATGTATTCTGAACCGAGAAGACCAAGCACACATGTAACAAGACCAAAAAAAAAAAAAAACACATTGTGGAAGTTGGCTTTCCACACAGGAAGTGATATCAAAACTGTACTGGAATGTGGCTTTGAATATTCAGGCCTTCACCAGACGCTGGTACAACAGGGGAAATGTATCCAGGTGGTCTGATGTCTTCTGGAGGGATGAAAAAGGATGCCGGTTATGGGTTAAAACGAGGGACATGGACCCTCTTGAAGGGTTAGGCGAGAACGAGACAGAGAAAAAGTCCCCTGGTGATGTCATTAGAAAGGTTCCTGTGCTGTCTGATGATGTCACAGGACATATTCTTGCATTTTGATGCCGCTGCAAAGAGCCTCCTCGGATGAGACACTAGATGATTCTTGAGCGTTTATGATATTATCAGAAGGTCCTTGAATGAAGGCCCTATAAATACAGTCCTCGTTTCTTGATTATGTTGTGTTCGGATGATGTGTCAGCGATTTCCTGCGTCTATAAATCTCCTCGAGCGTCGTGTTCACCACGCCTCCGTGTAGCGAACGTCCACTTCTTTTAGATTGGGTAGTTTGGCCTGTGGATAGGACCAGAGATAGAGAGGTTTAGATATTGAAATGTTTAATGTGACATGTTCCTAGTTCAACATCCTCTGTCGTTCCTGGAACAACATTCCTATCAGCTTTATGATTCCTATTATTCCACTCTAATTTCAGAGTCAAGGCTACAATTGATTGACTGAACCAGGAACATGTCCTGCTTGTGTACATAACATCGTGCATACGGGCAATAAAAAACTGGCTGCATGATAAAAAGTGAAGTGTGTAATTTCTGCACCATTAGAGTTACCAGACTGTATTGGAACAGTAGAGAGTGTTGATAAGGGTTTCCTGATCTCCCTCATCTGCTATTGGCCAGCCAAACAACATAACAACCGAAACTCAGGCCATTGGTCAAGTCGATGTTGCTGTTTTCCATTAGTTGTAATGCTTCAATGTTACACAGTATTTACATTTTTGGGGGAAATCAAACTATGAACAACTTACACTATTATTTAAAATTTGGGGTCTGTTTGATTTTTTAAAAATGTTTTTGAAGGTAGCATTTTAATGCTCCCCATGGCTGCATTTATTTGATCACAAATACTGCAATATTGTGCAATAGAATTGCAATTTTAAATCTGTTTTTCATATATTTTAGAATTAAATTTATTTCTGTGATGCGAAGCTGAATTTTCAGCATCCATTACGCCAGTCTTCAGTGTCACATGCTTCTTCAAAAATCTTTGTAATATCTTAATAAACATTTCTTTTTATTATCAATTTTAAAAACAGCTAATTTTGTGACATTGTGTGTGTTGTTTTAAGAAAATGTAAATAAAGAGATTAAAAAAAAAAAACAGCTATGCTGCTTAAAATCTTTGTGGAAGCCATAATACATTTTAAGGATTTTTTGATTAATATAAAAGTTCAGTTTTTTTGTAACAATTTAAAAAGTCTTTACTCTCTTTTAATCAATTTAATGTGTCTTTGCTGAATAAATAGTATTTATTTCCTTGACATTAAATAAAAAAATCCTACTGACCCCAAACTTTATTTTTTAGAAATAGTGTACATTTACTGTAGTAGCTTCTGCATTTTTTTTTTTTTAAATGACACACTTCACCTTTAATTTTAAGTTTCAATCCTAGCAGTCTAAGGGTCTGTTAGAGTCATCATCTTCTTACCTTCAGGTCCTCATATGTGTCCGCTGTGAGTTTAGTACTGTTCATATTCAGGCTGCACAGACTTTTCATAGCTGTAAGGAAAGGTTGCAATAAGTTAATTATCCTACATGTTTATTAAAATAAACCATAAATGTGTCCGGACATACACTAAATGTCTCTTACACTCAAAAGAAACCACTGTTTTTTTAAGTGGATAGTTTAAATACTTAATTTAAAAAGCTGTGCAAGAATTCAGAGCCAAACAACAAGTAGATGATTGTTTATATGGCTAAGCTCCAAAAAAAGCACAGCAGAGCAGCAGCTGTGAAAAGTGGAGGTGCAAGGAGCTGGTCGAAATTCAACTGAAAGCTCATGATCTTCATCTAGAGAATATCATTCGTAATTGTGTTCAAGTAAATAATAAAATTGTGCCTTCATACACATAACAGAAGGTCTGACTTCATTGATGGCAAAAACCACTGGTTCTCGCATGTTACGTGGCAAATTTAAAAACACGGTTGCGAATGACATTTGAGATCTTGGGTGGAGAGGAAGATTATTTGCGAGCAATGACTATGGCTTCAAAAGACTTGGACTATAGTGCATGAGTCATATTTTATGATACTTTGAAGCTTGACAGTATAAATCACCAACTACTTTTGTTACGGTATATGAAAAACAGAAGCTCGGATGGACATTGCGTTCTCCTTTTGTGCTCCACGGGAGAAAGAAGAAAGAAAGTCATACTGGTCTGGAATGACACAACAGAATACTAATTTTTGGATCAACGAAACCTCAACAAGCTTCACAAATGAATTATTACTAGCTAAGATCGGTTATAGATCAAGAAGCTAGAGAATAAATCCAATTATTTTAATTTGAGAAACAGCTGTGTTTTTAACTGGTCAGAATGAAAGTAGCTTGGGTATAAGATGTGTGTAAATGTGTTCTTACAGCTGAGGGAGAGCAGGCCAGCGTCTGTGACTGGAGTCTCACACAAGTTCAAAACCTGCAGACAGGCCAGATGCTCCGATAGCAAACGCAGCCCAGCATCTCCAAACTAAAACAGAGAAAACATAAATCAAATCAAGAAAACAGACTGAGAAAGGTTTTTATTAAAGAAATGAATACTTCTATTCAGTAAGTATGCATTAAATAGATCAAGTGTGACAGTAAAGATATTTATAATGTCACAAAAGACTGTTTCAAAGAAATGCTGCTCTTTTGAACTTTCTATTCATCACAGAATCCTGAAAATTTTTCTTGAGCAGCAAATCAGCATATTAGAATGATTTCTGATGGATCACGTGACACTGAAAACTGATGCTGAAAATTGATGAGTAATGAGGCTGAAAATTGTCATAACAGGCATAAAAAAATGTCATTTTAAAATACATAAAAATTTATATTTTTAAAGTTTTTTTGATCAAATAAATGCAGCCTTGTTGAGTATTAATAAAAAATAAAAAAAAAGACAAAAAAAACAAGACCCCAATCTTTTGAAAGGTATATTTTTAAAGCATTTAAAAAGTATTCATAAAGCATTAAGAAAGTTCTTTCGGCTTCAAAACTCATATAGCTGCTAGACTGTTCCAAAATAGTGGAGATTCTCTGTGACTACAGGACTGAAAATGAAATGAGCAGAAGAAAACAGACCTGGGTGGACCATAGGTTGAGCTGCTTGAGGGATGGCAGTTTGATGAGCTGTTCGGCGCAGGCACTGGTGACGTTGGTGAACGCCAAGCTGAGGTTCTCCAGATTGCCAAAGGAACCGGAGCTCAGCAGACGAGCCAAGTCAGCATCCTAGGGCAAAAAATAAAATGGGAAGAAAAAAGCCTTGAGGAAGGATATTTGGTAGTGTTTACTTATGAAAACAACAGCATAAATACAAGCCCATCCATAAATTGTAATTTACACAAACACACACTTACCGTAGATTTAGAGGGCAGAGTAAGTCGAGTAGGGCCTCCTTTTCTTTGCTAAACAAAGAAAGAGATATTACTAGTTCTGCAGTTTTTAGTTCAAACACCAGGTGGCGCTTGAGAGTCAGCACCATATACGTAGGAAGTCTGTAAATGGGTCACTTTTGTCTTTTTGTGTTAATGGGAGCACTGCGATAAACCAGGCCTGTGACGGCAGCGATGACTGCATAATGACCGGCCACCGTATTATCAAAGCATGTGCGTGGCAGTAAAAACATCTCGGTGTTGATTTGTGAAATTGGTTTGTGCACTCACCAGTTCTTTTAGCTCTCTTTGTCTGTCGCACAGCTGCTCATACATGCGCAGGCCGACCTGGGTGCTCTCCAGGGTGGAGATGATCTGTAGCTGAGTGTCTTTGTTCTCTATGATGTTGTACTCCAGCATCAAACACAGGATCTGCACGGCAGACACACAGAGATCACTGCTATATCCTACATATGGACTTCCCTGGAGTTTTTTGAACTCTCCACAGATAATGTCGTGAGCTGCCTTGTAGTCTACTTGGGCTGCATCCATACAGAAATGGAAACTCATGGGTAACTGATTTGATACGACAGTAATTGAACTTTCTGCGAAATCCGTGTGGGTTAATATTTAGCGAAAAATCTCTTGTGTGGATTACTATTGAAATTGATGGATTTTGCCTGCAAAATTTTGCCAAAAAACGAAAATGCAACCACTCAATTCATTCCAATGGAATTTGATGTTAGCATGTTGCTAAGCTAACAATTGGATACTATAAACAACACAAAACATAGCACAAAGTTTCATAATGTAACAATTTACAAAAACTCTTAAAGGGACAGTCCACCCAAAAATGAAAATTCTGTCATAATTTATTCACCTTTACGTTGTTCCAAACCTGTAAGACTTACTTTTTTTGTGGAACATCAAAGATGATATTCTGAAAAATAATTTAGCCAATTTTTTTTTTTGTCCGTACAATGGACATCATTGGGCTCCAGTTTTTAAAGTTCTTCAAAATATTATATGTTCCACAGAAGAAAGTCAGTCATACAGGTTTGGAACGACATGAAGGTGAGTAAACGATGATAGAATTTAAATTTCTGGGTCAACTATACCTTTAACCTGATATTTAAATATCTCTCTAAATGGTTCTATATACACATTAGGGGCAAAACTGAAGTCACTTACTTTGTGAATTTGGCATGTGCAAGGGCCCTAGAGAGGAGAAAGCAAACAGAGAAAAACATCGACTTAACTCAGGCACTCAAATAAGACAGTATCGTCATTCCACATAATTACACAAGTTGCTTTCTATATGTAGGCGTGCTTGCCTCGACACGCATCATGATACAATTTCAAGTAATCTAAATTGTTCTGTGTGCATGTCTGGGAGGACTTCATCAAATGTTTTGCATGTGTATCATGAGTGCTCTGGGATGTGGATGGCTGTTGTTAACTTTTTCTAATGAAGGCTGGAAGCTCGGCCTAGCGTACGAACCCAGGTGAGCCCCCCACCTGTGGCAACCACAGGGCTCTGCAGAAGACCTGTAATGATGCGCTCTGTCCTGCAGGGCCAATTACAGGAGCCACAGAGGACCCGAGAAGCCTCACCCAATACCCACAATCCCACTGCAGAGCCCTGCTGCGGCTCGCACACGTCAGTACTCTCCCTTGCATGCCATCCCTCGAGAGACCAGCCCACCGCACGTACACGGAGAGCCCCTGGTATCGTTATGTAGGCTACATATCCAAAACATGAATTAATATTTCTCATACACTACCGTTCAAAACTTTAGGATCGGTATGATTTAAAAAAAAAAAGTTTTTGAAAAACCTCTTGTTCACCAGAATGCATTTATTTGATTAAAAACAAATACAAGCAAAACAATAATATTGTGAAATATCACTACAATTAAATGTTTTTTACTATTTTAATACATTTTAAAATGTAATTTATTCTTGTGATGGCAAAGCTGAATTTTAGCAGTTCCAGTCTTCAGTGTCACATGATCCCCTAAACCTAAACTATTCTAATATGCTGATTTGGTGCTATATAGAATAAACCGAGATTATTTAACCCAATGATTATCTAAAAGTGCCCCAAATACTTTCAGTGTAGCTACCTGTAGTAGCTTGTAGAGTAGCTAGCTACTTTTTCAAAAGGGTAGCTTGATTTTATTTGATGTACTTTGGATAAAAGCGTCTGCTAAATGTACTTGCTTATAACAATATTGCATTTAAAGTGTTTCAGGCCCTTTCCATGGAAATTGCCATATTTGCATGCAGTCATATACAAAACACCAGCTGTTTAATTTGCTACAGATTATTTGAAAGACCTCATTTGACTAAGTAACCATAGGACATCTGATTCTGGTAGGATGACAAATGGAATACATGATGTAAACACATGTAAATGTGCACCTTTAAAATATCCATGAACCGTAGTTACGGAAATTTGCCAAAAGGCCATTGGAGAGTGAATGAGTGAAGTGATCGCAACAAAAAGCCAAAAGGGAGCAGTGTGCAGGGATGCCTAGGGAGTGAGCTTTGACATGTCTCACTCTCTTGAGTCTTTGCGAAGCATGGAAACTTTTGAAAATAGTTCCTTATTCCTCTCAGGTGGCCGTACCCTGGCCCAGATGCTCACAGTGATGACACAAACGGTGTCAGGTGAGACCAAAAATGTCACTACAGCTACGCCACTGTTGTTTGTCACAAAAATACTGACCGATTAAAGCAGGTGGAAATGAAAGCATGCGTATTTAAGGAAAATTTAAGAAAACAGGATATGGAGCCGTGAAGTCAGCAAATATGATACAGAGAAATGTTTTGAGCTGAGGTCTCAGGGGCAAACTGCATCTCATGGGTTGGAAAACCAGTGAATCAGACGCACCTGTTGATGAACTCTTCATAGCAAGAGTAGATGGCAGCCAGGCACACCGCCACGAGATTGGGGAGAACCCGAGGATGAGGGCACTGTCCGGTGGGACCGTGCATGCTGAAATCATAACATGTAAGAAAATGTCATGTTAGCACAGCTTCTGCGTCCAAACGCACACAGAGAGACAGCTAAAAGAAAACAAAGCTGTAACAGGAAGTAAGCACAGGGCTTGGTCCTAAACAGACCATTAAAATTACACAGTCTGATAGATAAAAGGATGTTACAGTTTGTGAACATATGAGGGCCTGTTCTTTGTACGTAAGTGAGGTGGAGCCAGGATGAGGTAACATTGTGTTCTAACCAGGTGCGTTTGCAATGAGATTCCAAGCTTTTATCGCTCTCGCCACAGTGTTGTTGTCATTACTACATAGCTTCGCTTGCACAAGGAAAGTGATGTGTGTTTGTATAAGGGGAAAAAAATGTCACTCACCTGTGAATAAACTTCTTGACCACTTCCATGCCAGCGTTAAGCTCATTCAGAGCCAAAATATACTCCTGAGTAAAGAGACGGAGCCTGGGGCATTTCCCAAAGTCCTGGAATGAGAAGAAAACACCAGGAGACTCAGTAAATGAGGATGCGGTGGGTGACGTGTGAATTCGAGAGCACTTCCAAAATAGTGCGCAAACCCACCATGTTGTGTTTGAGGATTCTCTGAACCACAGGAGTGAACACTTCAATCACCACCATCGACCGAGGACGCTCCCTACAGTGCTGTGTAGGGGAACACAAAAAACGATAACGATTAATACATATTAATCATCAAAATCATTACATATAACCCCATTCTTTAAAAAGTACTTGGTAATGATATCAGGAAAAAAATTGGTAAAGTAATGATATCAGAAAAAAATCTTTTTTTAGGATTCTCTGATGAATACAATTTTTTTTTTTTTTAAATAGAAATCTTTTCTAACATTGTAAATGTATTTACTGTCACTTCTGATCAATTTAATGTGTCATTTCTTTTAAGTTTCTTCTTGGTAGTGTAGCAGTTTTTGTGGAAAATGTAAAAATGGTTTATATATGAAATAGCCATGTGATAATGGCTATTTTTTTTTGAAAATCCTAGTAAATTCAAATAATACAAGTGAAAGATACTTCCCATTTGACCTTTTTGTCTTTTAAGTTCACAAACACAAGCCAAAAGATTTTGAACAATTAAAAAAAGGAAATATTAAAAACAGCAATAAAATAAAATAAAATGGTTTACAAAATTGAACTCAATTGTTCCCCTGACAAATAGCCAGAATTGTCACATTTACCTTGCAGAAGAATTCACACAGGTCAGGGGGAGGGTGGTTATTCTCCAGCAGGGGTGCGATGGCCTGCAGACAGATTCAAAACCTTAGTCACTTCCCCACAGACATGTAGAGTCTTGTTGCTTTTCATCCACATTTTACAGAAGTGCACAGCCTTCAGAGAAACTTCTGTGCGCGCCTGTCCTGTTTCTATGGCATTCCACTACATTTTCAAGTCAATTTTATTCTAGAGCGTGTTTCACTGAGCCTTAAGACACATTACGTAACTGCCTTTGTTAGCAATGGTGTTTAACACACTGTTGTGTGAAGGCTATATGCGTCTTCATATTTTCTTTGAAAAACAAAACAAAAAGGCAGCTTTATAAAGCAAATAAAGCTCACTTACCACAATGATGTTCTCATGGTCCTGAGCGCTGAGGTTAGTGTTCTGGGAAGGGAATGACACAAAAGCATTTGTTGAGAATTCACTGGCCAGAGGTGCCACAGCTAAGTGACTCAACAACCAGCAAGCCCTGCTTTTAAAATGTTAATGCCCTTCTTGGGAAAGCCGGTGTGACTCCGGGGATATAGCCTTTTGACCAGTGAGGCCAGTGAGAGGTCTGTTTTTAGACCTTTTAAAACCTTCTTTGAATCCAAATACTTGGTATATGTGGTGTTCAAAGACAAAAATCTACATTTGCAAATCAAAGTGGGGATGCAACCAATCTTTCCCTATCTGGAAAAGAAGATCCTCGTTGTGTAGCGATGCCATGTAAAAAAAATAAAGAAAAGAAGTCTCTAGACTAGACCACAGCAACCACACGTAACTCTTAACCTGAACACAGACTCGAAATGAAACGTAATGCACCTCAATTCACAAATGACACTCAAACCAGAAATGACTAATCTAACATAAAAGATGCCAACTATACTTCAAGAAGAAATTGGCTGAAAAATAATACATCTGATAAATTTGATGTGCTCACTGAGAAAAGTGACTCATAAATGCATAAAAATAAAATTATATCAACAATTACTGCCCTAAATGAATAGCCAAGTTTATAGAATATTCTATTCCTTAGATATGGTTAGAGGAACTCAATAAATCATTTTTTCTTGTCTATCAGGCAAAATTCGAAAGAAATCTTTTATAACTTTATAAATGTCTTTGTCACTTTAATTAATTAATGCATCCTCACTAAACAAAATTCATTCATTAAAAAAACCTTTGAAAAGGTTGTGTAACTGTTTCTGTAGAAGATTTTTAGGTAAACAAAAACGTTTATATATTAAATGTGATCATGTCTACTTTTTGTCCTAATAAAAGTCCTAATACATCCTATTTGATAATTTTTTATTATAATTTCATAAACACAAGCCAAACGATTTTCAACAACTAAAACAGAAAGATTAAAAACAGCAGTGAAAAAAAAAAAAATCTATTATATTTTAGGAAAAATCATACATTTGACAAATCTGCTGTTCTCAATGAGAAAAATGACTCATAAATTTAAGGAGAAAATATTTTCTTTTTCGGTTTAGGGTTGAAGTTGCATGATTTGAAGGATCACTGCCCACAGCAAGCGTTACATACCAAAATTTTGGATGGAAACAACTATGAGCAATAATAAAAGTAATGCACGCCTTAGCAAGCACTATTAATAAACTTTACACTCCTGTCAAATTAAATAATTAATAACTAGTCTTCTCACCAATTAGATGACGTGACGTACCTCAGCAAGCAGGGTGGAGATGATGTGCAGCGGGGCCTGATGGATGGATTCGTCCTGCAGGGGTGAGGTGAGGGCCATGTCCACCAGGGCCCTGATCTCCTTCAGAACCACGTCCCAGCGGCTCGGGTTATTCAGAACCTTTCGGTACTTGTAGATCTTTTTCTGCAGATGAGTCAGATAACCCAGATTGCACACACCTGCCTTTTACCAAATGCGACCAGCAGTTATGAAACCAGCACATATTTTACCACCATAATGCAGCAGTGGTCACGTATGATAACTACATTACAGTGTGAATTACCTCACCAAATCTACCCAGAAATAAGCTGTGGTGACCAGGCTTGGAGATTCAGGGTTTGAAGTTCATATTTTGTTCAATTTTATTGCCCTCGTGCATGGATATTTTTTTCAACCACAGGCACTTTTCTTAAAACAAAACACTCTTTTCACGCTCTCACTAGTTAAATCTGTCTACTATAAACATCCCATAGTCAATATTTTTTTTTAAACATCATGAACACTTCCACCGCATCTCAAAATATGGAAACTTACTGACTGGAAACTTGACGCACAAAAAAAAAATTATGCTCGGAAATTTCCTCTATACACATCACATCTCGTATATCATATCAAGCATGCTCTTCACTGTATCCTTGATCTTCAGGGACATGGCTGTCTCCTTGGTAACCAAGTATTAACTTTTGATAAATCTTTATTGAGGCAAAATTGTTAATGCTGTAAATGACGTCACAACTGAGGTAGTAAACAGTGTAAACAATAGTATAAATCATTAGATACAAGAACAATCAACTGATTTATGACGGTTTCATTCTTCCATTCAACAAAGTGAATGTCATATAACAAAAACAAAATGTTTTAGTTTTAAAATTAGAAATCAACCCTTGGAACATCAAAGTGCCCGTAGTTGAAGAACCACCCACTTACACACACTTATAAAATGATAACCTCACTAAAACTATGTAAAATGTCATGACGCCGATGCTTTTTGCAAGTCTAGCCTTCCTTGACGTGTGACCTTACCTTCCACTGTAACGAGTGAAACCATTGGTCCCGCAGATAGCTGTTAGCAGCCTGTGAGTGCACACAAACATTCGCAAAATGAGAGTGTAATCTCACAATGAGTGTCATGAAACCGTAAGGGAGCTGGAGGTACCTGCAGGAGGACTGTCCCTCCAGGGAAGCTTAGCTGGACACAGTATTTAGGGGCGTTGTCCCAGGACAACAGCTGTAGGTCCTCGATAGTGCTGTAAGACAGAGGGGCCTCCATGTATCCTGTGGGCTACAGAGACAGGAAGAGACACGTTCATATTTGCAGAAAACTGTCTGAGCTTTAACACCTCTCAGGACGAGCGTCATGTACCGCACTGTCAACCTTAATAAAAGCTCTGCAGCATCATGGACTAGCGGTTGTACAATTTATTAACCTGCAATGTGAATAATATGATGATTGCTCTCTGAATGTCATAATACGCCTTTGAAGTTGCATTGAACTCTTGACATAAATATCTTCGAGCCAGTGTCACCCACATAATGATACTTCAATCAAATTATTTCAAAGGTCAGTGGGAAATAAGGTTGAAGCTGAAATGGTTTGTGTTGCTGGGCACAACGTGCAGTCTACAGTTTCCATGTTCTATTATTCTTATTTTAATTTTATTAATAAAATTAGATTATTTTAATCATTGTTAACGGTATAGTTTACCCAAAATTCTAAATTAATGAAAGATTTAGCCATTCTAGGTGTATAGGACTTTCTTCTTTCAGACAAATACAATCGGAGTTACATTAAAAATGGCCTGGATCTTCCAAGCTTTATAATGGCAGTGAATGGGGGTTGAGATTTTGAAGTCCAATAAAGAGCATCCATCCATCAAAAAAGTGCTCCACACAGCCCCAGGGGGTTAATAAAAGAAATCAGCAAAGTGATGCATATCAATATCCATATTTAAACCTTTATAAACTTTAATCTCTAGCTTCCGCTAACTATCATACGTACATTCACGAGAGAGTGGCATTCCAGCAGATGAAGCAGAACGTAGGCATAACATAAGCTTTGGCGAGAATATGCAATTCTCGCGAGAACCAAGTTTTGTTTACAGCAAAGGAAAACCAGTCTCCTCTTGGCTTATATCAAAATCTTCCAACATTTTTCTTTACAAATCCTCATTTTGTACTTCTAATTTGTGACTGGCGGGTTTTTTTTGGGGCTCTCTACTGTGCTTCGTGTTCGTCACTTTCACATTAATCACTGTATTCACCTACATCTCACGTCATCCGCTGGAACGTCACTCTCTTATGAACGCACATACGACTGTTAGCAGAAGCTAGAGATTGCGATTTATAAAGGTCAGTTTGTCTGTTATAACAAACTGATCTTTAACCCCCCCCATATAATACCAAAAATACACTTGTTAAAGTTGAAATTGTTTGAACTTGGAGTTTCTCTGCTTAAGAGTTGGATGCATTGGAAGGTTTTTCACAAGTTAGCATGATAAGTTTTGATGTGGCATCATCTTTCTTGAGGTGACATCAATTCACGATAAATTACTAATAAAGAATTTAAAGTCAGGTGAATTCTGATTGGCTGTCATAGTTCTGAAAGTGATTCCAGCAATATCATTCTTCAGTGGCATTATTATTATAGTTGCATTCAGACTTCAATTCTTAGAATTATGACGACTCAAAACTTTATAGTTATCTTGTTTGGTGTGAACGGGCTTTAAGTCTCATCCGGTTCTTTATTTGAGCTGCAGATTTACAGCGAATTTAAGGTTCCCCTTCTTAATCTTTAAATGGCTGCAGGAGCTTCTTCATTTTCATTATTTGTCACACATGAGCCTGTTGTAGCTTATTTCTCAGTTTCACTCCTGACAAGTGTTGGTGGTCACATGACCTCAAATGTCAACAGGCTGTTCCCCATCTCTTTACCTCTACAATAGCACACTGCGGCTGTTCCTTTATTAGTCTCCCTCCCTCCTCCGCAGCCCGGCAACAGGCTCTTCCATTATTAGCACCACCCACCCTCGGCGTCTTTGCACAAACAGGCTATTGCTTTATTTGCGCTGCTCTCCCTCTAGACTCAAACCAAACCACAGTTCCTGTATTTGTATTAGAGCAAACAAGCTGTTCCTTTCTTTGACTCATTCTCTTTGCGTCTCTCGCTCGCTCAAACAAACAGGCAGCTCGTCCCCGTATAACTGAATAAAACAGGACTGTCTTTTATTTACATCCCCCACTCTTAGGTGATAGACAAACTGGCTGTTCTGCCCTCCGCTGCAGAATCGAGATGGCTGATTTGTCTTTCTTTTTAAGAGTCTATGTGATAAGTATCTATTACATGACATCTAATTTTTCAAGCAATCAATCACGAGTCTGCTAGCAGGCTTGTGTACGTTGGGACATGTGCCACACGTAGAGTAAAACAAGGGCCCCGAAGTGGCAGAAACCCAGATAAACAGCTGAAGTCTACTTGTCTCTCATAAAATCAAGGTAAATATTTCACCACTGGGGTTTATATATCTACAGCATGGTAAAAACCTCTTTAAAGGTTGTCATAGCTACAATATCCTGTATGACGATTTGACGTGAACTTGCGCCGAGCTTGACGTTCCATCTGCTTATCTTTGTGTCTCTCGCTGTCCTTTCCTCTCTCTCTCGCTATCTGTCCTCCTTTCCATCTCCGTTCCAAGAAGTCCTCCGATTCTTTCTTTCTTCGTCTCATTCAGCATGTTTTTCATGGTGCAATTCTTCCTTAAGGAGGAGTTGAATAGCTCTCCTCTCACCATTGCTATGTTGCCATGGAAACAAAGAGATGAAATAGAGACATATGTTTTTTTTTTGTTACCAGGGAGATCCAGATGGAAAACGATGTGGAGAAAAACATCAGTGTGTTCAGGTGGCGTCTCTATAACTGACAAACTGATCTCGGAGAGCTCCTGTTAGCGCTGCACCTACTAAACTGTGAGGAACCACAACAAAGGCAGATTTCTCAGCTTCTCATATCGTTGTTTGAAGAGCTGAGTGGTGAATATAAGATAGATATGTATATTAGTGATCGACGGATAAATCAATATTGGGCCACGTGAGATGGTCATAACAGCAAATAACTGACTGATTAAAAATTTTCTAAATTGTCCCTTATATCAGATCTAAAATCTAACACATTATTGTCAATGGATAATACAAAACTTCTGCTTTTCAAAAATTACAGAATTTAAATAAAGTATTTATGCAGTTAATATTCAATATCGTTTTAAAACAATTCATCTCTAGGTCTTAAATTAAACTGCATTAAGCTATAATTGCATATATTTTGGACATATGCCAATTGGCTCTCTAGTTATTGATATCAATATCAGACAGTTAAAAACCCATAACGGTTGACCACTAATGTATATTTTAGCAATACTGTATGAGATGCCATGCTTCGTTATGATTACAATTGCAACAACTTATTTTAATTAATTAAATTATATTATTTTAATAACAGCAAATGAGAAATACTGCAGAAATTACATTTAATTTTATACTTTTTAATATTTTACACTTTTTTTTTTTTTTAAATACACTGTTCAAAGTTTTGAGGTCAGGAAGTTTTTGAAAAAAGACTTTTATGCTTAACAAGGTTGCATTCATATGACCAAAAACTGAAACTGTAATACTGTAAATAGTATTACAATTTAAAATAACTATTTTCTATTTTAATATATCTTAAAATGTAATTTATTCATGTGATGACAAAGCTGAATTCCCAGCAGCCATTACTCCAGTCTTCAGTGTCACATAAAACTTCAAAAGAAAAAAAACCCATCCTAATATGCTGGGTTGGTGCTCAAGAAACATTACTTATTATTAGGGATGTAACGATTCACTCAACTGACGATTCGATTCAATTCACAATTTTTTTAACAAAATTAGATTTAAGACAAATTATAAATTGTGTCCTTTTATTATTTCTTGGACAAAATACTGCACATTTCTTTGTGAAATTGAAATATAACACTATAATAATATACTAATATAGCATTTGTAAATTATTGATCTTTTGTTGGTTTTGATTGCTTCTATTGTCCTCATTTGTTAATCGCGTTGGATAAAAGCGTTTGCTAAATAACAATTTAAATATGTAAATGTAAATAACAAACCTAAATTGAAATTTTAAAACAAGCCCCAAATCAAATAAATAAGTAACACAAATAAAAGAAATCTCTTCATATAAACAAACTTTGTCTGTGCTCTTTCCATTTAAAATTAGAGGCAACCACTGCATTTTAATCATGATCCAAACAAAGATGCTGCATACATGCAACATGAGCAGTTTTTAATCTAAATTACATTGTATAATTTTGAAATTTGAAGCAAAAACAGAATGGTTTGACTTCAGTTTTGTGAAATTGTGCATAAAAATTATCAGCATGAAACCGAAACAGCAGACGAGCTGAATGAGATGCAGATTCACTCTCTGCCAGCAGGTGGAGCTTAAAGCGTTTCACTGGTTTCCGCTGTAAACAAAGCAGCGCTGCACTTATGAACTTTAATATGCTTTATACAGAGGCAAGATGAAAAGAAAAAATACCATTGAAAGTAGGGCTGCACGATAACTCGCATGCAATATTTAACGCGTATCTTGTCAGAAAGCCGGTTCTGTAATCAGCGGTAAATCTCCATCACCTGCAGGCTTTCATATTGAGCAGCATTAACTACACAGAGCCGCTGTTCACTGACGAGCAGCGCAAAAAATCGCGCGAATATGAATGTGGTTTTGCGCAACTCGTCAGTGAACAACGGCTCTGTGTAGTTAATGCTGCTCAATGTGAAAGGCCGCAGGTGATGGAGATTTACCGCTGATTACAGAACCGGCTTTACTGATAAGATGCGCGTTAAATATCGCATGCGATTTATCGTGCAGCCCTAATTGAAAGACAGTAAGTTCCCCTCAGACATACATTCATATAAACTCCTACCCCTAACTGAATCGCTATTTGTTTACCATCTCAACCGATTTGAATCGTCACATATTTAAATCGATTTTCAACCGGCTCGCGGTTAATCGTTACATCCCTACTTATTATTATCATCAATGTTGAAAACAGTTATGCTGCATATTTTTTTTAAACATTTTTTCAGGATTATTTGATGAACAAAATGTTTATTAATGTTTAATGTATTTTCTGTCACTTTTGATCAGTTTGACCATTCTTGCTGTATTCATTTATTTTTTACTTTAAAATATCTTACCCCAAACTTTTAAACAGCAATGATATGATAATCATTAATGGC